ACCAATTATAACCTTAAAACACAGTTACAACAATCCCTGACAAAGATGGTTATTTTTCAACCCAAGAATAGTTGTTCTGATCCATTTTCAGAGATATTAAGGGAGTTTAAGCTGTTTGAAGCAAGTGGAGTTCGATCATCAAATTTAAATAAGATTGATGCTGCTCTCAAAACAATTCAGCCTTTCACTGGATGTTGATTCATGTCAACATCCAGTGAAAGAACTTTTTTGGTTGCTGGTAACTTTTCAACTAAGCTTCAAAGCCCACTAAATTTTGATATATTAAATGCATTAACATTTTTAAAATACTATTTTTTGGATTGTCAATTATTGAGTTGTAGCTGCTTGATAAAGTATTTTTAATATTTTAAGTAATACGTTTAATTTTTAGATATTAAAAAATAAAATAAAATAGAAAAAAAAAGTCTGGAACAATTTAGAACATTCTAGAATAATTTAAAATATTTTGGAACATTCTAGAACAATTAGGAACATTCTGGAACATTCTAGAACATTTTAGACTAAATACAGCTGCTCTTCTAATTTTATAGTTATTACAGAAGCAATACATGGCGTCGTACAAGCCTAGCAATAGTAGCATTCAGAAGAGCAAGAATGTCTGAACCAATAATCTGGTAAAATTTGAAGACTCTCATAAAAGAAGAATAGTCCCAATAGAAGAATATTCACTGGAAGAAAAGTGCAGAACGCCTCTCCAAAAGCAAATTATCTAATGCTACCATTTCCTTGAACCAAAATTCAAAGGAAGAAAGGAGCGAATAGCGAAATTTCCAAAGAAGTAACCAAAATATGGAAGAATAAACTAAATTTTCCTCATGTATCTGATCAAGTTATACGAGCAAACCTTGATAAAATACTAAATTATTATGATGAATGTATCAGGCGGGGAAGCTACGAACCCCTTGATGTAATTTTTGATATTACTAAAGTAGATGAAACATGGTTATCTTCAGAGGACAAGCGATTGTACCATCTCCAAGTGGAAAGCAAAGGAACAGTGGGATACTCTACAGGCCAAGCAGCCAGTAAAGAAACGGTCCATCCCTCTAAAAGACAAAAACTTTCTAATGAGTCATCCAACTCATCATCTTACTATCCCGGTTTTAATGATTCTGACTCTGAGGCTGACAACAGTGAATATGAAAACAATGAAGAGGATGAGACAACTCCAACATCAAGCAGAAAAAATCATAAAAGCAAAATTGCAGTCAACTTGGTGACCTCCACAAGAGTATCAATAAACAAAGCTGCTAACATATGCAAGTAATTGGCTTGTGAAGGCATTAATAACTCTATGCCAATCAGCTATTTACAAGTCAACAATCAAAGAGGCAATCAAGCTGAAAAAAGAAATGAATTGAAAAATTGCATATGGAAAGTTGGTCCTTAAACTTTGATGGCAAGCACATCGACAGAATGGATTACCAAATGGTTGTCCTTAAAAATGAAAGAAGAGAAATCAAATTGGATGTTCTTGGCTTGGTAGATGGCAGGGCCTAAATTATTGCTCAAGGAATTTCGAAAGTCCTTGATTAATTTCTCCTATGGACTTCAATTCTCATAATAGTTGCAGATACCACCAGCGTTAACACTGGAAAAAAGAATGGTGTTGTTGTAATATTGCAACAAATGTTCACAGAGAAACGCATCAACAAACCTCAGTTTATCAGTTGTCAATACCATGTATTAGATAGAATCGTTCGTTTGGTGATGGATGAAGAACTTGGAAGTAAAACACAATTGCCGAACATCGAATATCCATTTGTATCTCAACTGTTGAAAGAGTACGAACAACTAAAAACACAGTTTGATAACAGTACAGAAGTGGTTTTTGAAACATCAGGCTGGATTTATATTGTATGGCTGGGCAGACCATTAGTTTACAAACTAACTGTACAACAAAAACGACTTTAATAACTTGGCTGAAATACTGAATCCATACAAAAAGGCTTTAAGCTCTTTGAAAAATTACTGGAAACGAGAGCCATCCATACTACAGATACCCAGAAGTAATCAATGCACAGAGCGCGCAATCATAGTAATGGGGGACCTTATTCATCATGCAAAAAATAAAGACAAACTGCACCTTCAATTCCTTCTGTGCAACAAGCAAGAACAAGGTCAACGGTCTGAGTCATTGTTGGATAGAAAATTTATTGTATTACATGTTTATGACATTCTAAATGCATTTGAATACATAGTAGTACTTAATTCAAAATCGATTTTTCAATGACAGGGTAAACTTTTTTGAAAAGATATGCAAATAATAGTTCATTTTGTGCTTTTTAGGCAAAAGTTCATCAAACTACAGTACAGGAGCATGGGATGGATAAAAAGTCATAACCCTAGCAATTATTAATTTTTTTTTTAAAGTATTTTAACACTTAATTTCTAATTAATTAAAACATTAATAACTACTAAAATTAAATTTACTAAAATATAGTTAATGAATGTTTAAAATACTTTAAACAATTTTCAATAATTATATACAAACAGCCTGGTAATTGCAACAAAAGTGTTTATTAAATCCACCAGTAAACTCATGTATTCAAAGATATGCTTTTAAATCAACTACTTATCATCTTTGGATAAAATTAAACAAGATAAACCCAAATAATAAAAACGATTAAAAATGATTAAAAAAATAATTGTTAAAAAACCATGGTTGCAACACCAAATATATATATATATATATATATATATATATATATATATATATATATATATATATATATATATATATATATATATATATATATATATATATATATATATATATATACCATTGACCATAAATTAGAGCTCGCTTTTGTTTTTGTTTTATAATCCTGTTTGATTTAAATTATTTTAAAAACTATTATATTTTTTCAAAAATTTATTAGTACTAATTAATAAGTATTATGTTTACTGTTTATTTGACATGTTGTTTCCTTAAAATTTATTTTGTACGCCTAATTATATATAACTTGATAACAACTACTAAATAATTTTAATTTTTTATGTTGGTCAAAAGTTAAGGCTCACTGCTTTATATTTAAATTTTAAGTAATATATTGATGATTTTCTTTAATAATTTTTATTTTATTTTCATCTGCATTTATTATTTCTAATTTTTTTTTTGTTTTTGTTTAAAATAGTACTAAAAAAAAACACAAATAAATTAAATAATAAAAAAGTTACAAAATGAGTGAAGTAATACAGCATAAAACTCCAAAATCACGATCAAGAATCTCTGAAAAAACACGTTATGAATCAATTTTTCTTCGAAACCAAGGACTATCTCATCGCCAGATAGCAAATGAGTTAAATATCGCATATTCGATTGTTGCACGTATTTTAAAACGTTTTAGTGAAACAGGTGACATTAAGGACTGACGCCGATCTGGTCGGCCAGCTGTAACAACACAAAGAGATGAACGTTTGCTAATTCGTTTAATGAAACATGACAGAAAGTTATCGTCAAACGCTCTCTGCCATAAATTAAACAATACATCTGGAATAAAAGTGAGTTCAAGAACTGTTAGAAGAATTCTTCATAGAAATAATTATATGTAGCGATCTGCATGCAAGAAGCCAAGACTTTCAAAGAAACAACAAAAAGCAAGGGTTGCCTGGTGCAATCAGCATAAAAATTGGCCTGATTGCAAGTGGTAAAATGTTATATTCTCCGATGAAATAAATGTGGAGGTAGATATGCGAAAATACCGTGTTATGCTCCGGCGATAACCTCAAGAGAGATTTTATTCAAATTGTACATTAAAACGAACTAAGCAAGGTAGTGGCAGTATTGGCATTTGGGCTTGCATGAATTATGCAGGACTTGGATGCTATCAATTATTTGAAGGTCGACTTAATGCTGATAGATATATTGAAATTTTAGATAATTGTCTTCTTCCCTCAATTGATATATTTAAAGAAGAAAACAGGAATATCATATATCAACAAGATGGTGCGTCATGCCATACAGCAAAAATATCCAAACGATGGTTTGTAGAAAACCAAATATCAATAATGTCTTGGCCTGCTAACAGCCCTAACTTGAATTGTATAGAAAATTTATGGTCTTGGTTAGATCATCATCTTGGAAAAATTCAAATTTTAAATGTCGAACAATTAAAAACTGAAATAAGAAAACTGCTTGACAATGTGCCTAAAGAAATAACTCAAAATCTTGTAAACTCAATGCCAAAGAGAGTAAATCAATGCTTACATGAGAAAGGAGGTTCTACAAAATATTAGAATGCTTTTTTTTTTGGTTTTGCTCTTGTAAATTGTTGTTCTTATATTTTATTTGGAATATATCCTTAACTTTTGGCCAATTTTTTTTTTTGAAAAAAAATAACCTGTTTCATTATTTTCCATTTTTTAGTAGTAAGACTGTTATGTTTATATTTAGCTTTTTGGATTTCCATAATGTATATAGATTTTACTTATAATATTAAAAAATAAAAAATAAAAAATAATTTTTATTTTCAATTAATTTTATTTTAAAATTATGTTTTATAAAAAAAAAAAAGTGAGCTCTAATTTATGGCCAATGGTGCATATATATTGGCATATAAAAGTTTTAATTGTGAAAAAATGCCTTTATTTAGCAATGTTTCCATCTGGGATCAAAATAGCAAATTTAAAAGCTTTTTTGTTTTTAAATGATTGTTTATGATTAGCCTGATGATATATTTACAACACATGTTTTTTATTATTATCATTTGTTATCATTATGATTTTTGTCTACTTTTATATAGAATGTCATTAATACCAGATGTTCTCTCAAAATTAGTTTATACTATTTATAATGACATTGAATTTTAACTTTTAGAAAATATAAATTGTTATGTTGCTAACTACTACATTTTTCAACTCAAATATTATAATTTATGTTTTAAAATAATAAAATATTCTATAAACCTAATATTTTCATATCAATATACTTACCTACTTGTAAGAAATAAATTTGTATTTATTAAAATAATTCATACCCACAATGTAGCCAATTTTTTGAAAGTCCTCAACCAAAGATGTCTTTTGATCAGGAAGCATTCTTGCAAATATTGTTCCACATATTAAAAGTCTACTGTAAAGACTAGGATGATACTCTTTTATTACACTAAAAGCCTTACCAGTAACTGCTAAATGGTATTGGCGGTGTAAAAATAGATTTTCACTTTCTTGTTTCAACTCTTCTGATAGTCCACCTGCAGAGAAAATCAACTTACGAGAGTCATCATTTGATAAAGTTATTGATATGACCTTGTGAGAACTAGGCACAATTCCACATTCCCGTGCAACACTTTCTGCTGTTAATATATTATCACCTGTAATCATAACAGGCCTTATATGAGCATTATAAAGTTTTTCAATTACAGGAGCAGTCTCCTTCTTCAAAAGATTTTTCATGACAATAAAGCCAAGAAAAATAAGTTCACATTCTATTTGACTTCTCTCAAAATGTTGAACTTTGTGCCAATGTAATTTTTTAGGAAGTTCTTTATAAGCTAATGCAATAATACGATACCCTTTTTTTGCAATTGATGTTAAACACTCATCAAATGTTTTTGGTAAAGTTTCTTGTTTGCATAGTGATGCAACCATTTCTGGTGAACCTTTGACATACACATTCATATGCTTTGAACCTAATCGTCTTGTTACAACACTCATTCGTTGAAGTTCCGAACTGAATGTATACTGCTTTAAAATAGCAACTTCTAGCGGAAAATCTTGTTTCTCTAAAGCTTCTGATAACAAGACACTTTGGTTTTGAGACTTGGCAATTAATGGAACAATATTTTCATAGCGTTCAGTTTCTGCACCAGGTTCTTCTAGTATCCAACTTGTAGCTTGAAACATTTTAATATCCAAACTATCACCGCATAGCTCATTATTAATAGTAGTTAAGGAATGGCATGTAGCCATAGCAATAGTGACATTATCATTATTTGTTCCAACGTCATTTTCAATTTCACTAAAGGTTTCATCATTTAATCTTAAAACTCCACAAAAATCTAAACCATCTTCAGTTAAAGTACCTGTTTTATCAAAGCAAAACAAATCAAGTCTTCCACTTATGTTTATCCTTAATGGACTAATGCAAAAAATGCCTTGCTTTTTGAGGCGTTGTAAGGCATACACTGTGCCAACACTCATTGCAGCTGGTAAAGCTGGTGGTACAGCTATTGTAAAAATATCAAGAGATTTTAATACAAGTAAAAATGTTGCAAAACCATTTTTATAAAATGCGTAAAAAGCGTAACCACATCCAATTAGTGCAAAAACAAATAAAACTCCAATAAATTTAAGAGCATCTGTAAAAAATTTAAAATCAACCGGTTTTGGAAAAAGTATTGAACGAATCAACTCCCCTTTCATTGTTGTAAATCCAGTTCTAATAACAACTGCTAAGACTTTTTCATCACCATAATATCTAGTTTGAAGAACCTCTGTACCACAAAAAAGAGTGTTTCTAGAATGCTTTGTTGTATTGAATATCTCATTATTAGGTGCATTAAAATTATTTGGTCGTGATATTGAAATCTTTGTCACTGGAACACTTTCTCCTGTCAACATACTCTCATTTACTATAACAGTTCCGCTAACTAAAGCAGCATCACAATATAGAGTTGAACGAAATTTTGGAAGCACAATAACATCTCCAGGAACAAGAT